CGCCCGCCCCGGCACAATCACAGCAACAACCTCAGCTGCTGCAGGTCAAGGAAGCGGCTGCTGCCTCCAGCCCCAGCTGCCATCCTTCGCCTCCCCTCAGCCACAGCACCGCCGCCTCCGTCCTGCCAGATAAGTCGCGTCTTCATTTTCTACTCTATTTTTTTTCTTTTGGTAAAATGGATGTGGTATAAAAAAACAGAGCTGCAATTAAAAACCCTCTTTTCCTCTCCTCCACACCTACCTCCACTGAAGACACCTGAGCCAACCTAGTTCAGTGCTGGCAACTCTCAGCCTCCTTCAATTATCCCTGTGGTGGTGTTTAAATGTGTGAGTTCCCTTGCTTCGGATGTGGTTCTTTCAACACTGGTGGTGTGAGTGTCTTTCCCTAGAAAGACCCGTAGGTAATCCTATTAATCTACGTACAATTCTTATTAAGCTGCTGTCCAGGTTGAGCCCCATACAGCTGTCAGAACAGGGCACTAAGATAAAGACTGGATGTCTGAAGGCTCGCAAGGAGAAGGGAGAGAAGTTTAAAGTACTTCTTGAACTTCAAGTGATGCTTGGTGCCTCCTGAGGCTCTCAGTGTGGTCTTCAGTACTCCCCAGAGCCCTCCGTTCGGCTTTTGATGTACCCCCAGGAGCCCTCCATGTGCCTTACGGTTCTCAAACTTAGTCTCTGGGCTTCTTAGAACTTGCCTGCCCCATGGAAGATGTTACATTCATGTAAACGCCTAGACCCATGGCTGCCCGACTTTATCACAGCAGCATCAAAGAAAGATGCTTACAAGCATAGCACAAATCAGCACAGGCAAAAAGCACAACTCTTCCCTTTGTGTCCCTGCTCTGCGTTTTGCATATTCTCACTCCTCCACCATGCTAACATATGCCCGTATGCAAAATTGTCTTAAGGCTCCACTGCTTGCTAACAACCACAACCCCTGAACAACCCGTGACCCACGAAAGAAAAGGTAGTTTCTATGTGCACGGAGAGAAGTAGCCTCATCCAACAGTGCTGGAAGGGGCGGCAAAGCCTTGCAGCCGAAGGAAGGCTTGGCACAGACAGCACGCCTCACGAACCAGCCCTCTTCCAAACTGTGGCCCCCCTCTTCAGCCACGACTGCCAAGGACAGTGACTTTGGTCGCCCCCAACCCCTGACAGCAAAACTGAGACTTCCTAATTAATCTAGTGGAAGGAGTTTTGAAGTAACTTGAAGGAAGTAACATGAATATGCACCAAACATAGCCAAAGCCTGCTGACTATTGAAATGGCTCATTAATACCACACAGACAAAGCAAATGACTGATGCTTACTGCAGAGTTAAACATATCTGTGCTTGGATTATTGAAGCAGCGCAGAATATTTCACCCCATATGGTTTGCCTGAAGAGGCTGTTTCAGATAATGGTTCTCGTGTTGTTTCCATGGAATTTCAATATTCCCCAGATTATGCTTGCTGGAGCACTCCAGAGCAACCTTGTGTCATTTGGTGCCATGTGAACTAGCAGAATGCTGCATACTTAAAATTAAAAGCAGATTACAGAAAAATAATAATGAGGTTCCAATTTGAAAAAAGGGAGCATCGAATGTTTTCGCTACTGGTTTACTGACCCAGAAACTTTCAACAGGGTTTTTTAAGAAATGTTGTCAGCTACAAAATAATTTTACGTATGTGGATAAAATTAATCAAAATCACTGGATGAAAACTAGCACAAGATTAAGCATCCACAAAATATGCCTAGGCACGAGATATATCCTGGCAGGAGGGATGGAAAGAAAGAACTGGGACTCATGCTCCATCTGCTAATAATGATAATGAAGAAATATAGTGGTGCTACTAAAGACAAAGGTTCGGTGAGGAAAAGCCCTTGAAACTGCAAGTGCTGTAAATGCAGTTATAAGAAAACAAAGCCACTGGGCTTTATGGCACAAACACCATAAAAAACATCTTATTCACACAAATCAAAGGGCTGTCTGGGCTGTCTGCTCATGTCTTGTGACCTTCAGTGGGTGCTACGGAAAAAAAATATAGGGTAAATACATTCTCTTCTTGGACAAGTTTCTCCATTGTCAATTAATAGCCTGTGGTCATGGGAATTTACAGTCCAAGGAAACACAGGTGAACAGAGGCAGAGGATACAGCACTGAGGCAGTGGGTAAGACTGACGGCTGGTTTGTTAGTCCATGCTGGAGTAGGTCTGTGCACGTATTTAGAAGTCTGAGAGGGGATCTGATCAACGTGTATAAGTATCTGAAGGGAGGGTGTCAAGAGGATGAGGCCAATCTGTTCTCCGTGGTGCCCAGCAACGGGACAAGAGGCAGCGGGCAGAAACTGAACCACAGGAAGTTCCATCTGAACCTGAGAAAAAACTTCTTCCCTGTGAGGGTGACAGAGCATTGGACCAGGTTGCCCAGAGAGGTGGTGGAGTCTCCTTCCCTGGAGATATTCAAAACCCGTCTGGATGTGATCCTGGGAAATATGCTCTATGCTTGAGCAGGGAGGTTGGACTAGATGATCTCCAGAGGTCCCTTCCAACCTCAACCATTCTGTGATTCTGTGATTTACCTGCACATATGTTCTGTCTAGGAACAGCAGTGGGATGAGGAGGCAGGCAGGAACATGAGGTTAGCAGCTTTGATGAAGGAATGAGGATCTCTGACAGGTGGTGGCAAATAGAATATACACAGGAGTTTGGGGAGCCTGAATAGCAAGTGAAGGAATGGGCAGATTTTACACCTGAACTCGCATGGTCATGCCATAGTCTGTGAGCCCTCTCTTATCGCCTGCCTCTCCTCCAGCTCTGCTGAAGTGGCATCAGGAGGTCTCTCCAGGTGGAAAGAGCACAGGTAACCAACCCTGCCCGGACAAAGGTCTTCCCAAAACACCACAGGTGAAGACAAGATGATCTGGTATCCTCTGTTCCCTTCTGTGGCCTACAAATGACGAGGCCACTGATAACAGTAAGGTGCTGTCATCCTCTATAAAAAGGATGGTGGTTTCAGTCTTTGCTGGCAGAGCTGCACGGGATGCTGCGTGGTGCCGGGCTCTGTTCCACATTCCTGATGGGAACGCGCTCTAATCGGCACTGATCTTTTCACCTCTATCCCGTAGACTCTCCTTGGCCTCACCTGTGCCTGTTCAGCTATTTTTGCTTTGCTTCCTACCTTACACCTATTTACCTTCTAAGTCCTCCTGCTTTTCTTCCTACCTTACATCTATTTACCTGCCAAGTCCTCCTATCTGCCTTGCTTCTCAGACCTGCCAGCAAAGAGTGGCCCCTCTGCTGTCAGTCGCAGATAAAACCCTGCTTATGCCTGAAGCCAGGAGCGGCACTTGTTGTTGGACAAGTCTCCACGGACATATTGCTCAACGTGGAGTGAGATGGTGAGGGACTCCTAACAGGTCAGATTTCAAGGGAGAAGAAAAAGCGTACCTCTTTCTCCAAGGTCATTCCTTTGCTAAATTTCAAACTCTTACTTCAAATATCAAAAGACTAGCTTTTCAAAAATGGACTGTATGGGATTCTTATCACTGGGTTTGTTTATACGTATATTCAATATTAAACATAAAGTGCAAATAGGTATGTATGTATTTAAACATTGAGAAAATGGTGCATTTTTTCCTAATGCTTTTGGCATTTTACCTGACACTCTAAAAAACATGAAAATAAACAGGCTGAGTCAGACACTCAGTATGAAACCTTAAAACAATTAACTCAAATGGCTACAGTTTGGTAGTGGTATAAGCAAAGAAAAACAAAGGCAGAAATGTCAAACTACCAGAACTGCTTATAACTGGTTGCAA